AAAAAAAAAAAAAAAAAAAAAAAAAAGCAAAGTACAGGGAGATTACTAAATGTTCACTAAATGAACAATGAATGAACAAATATAAAACAAGAACACACACACACATTTCCTCAGCTAAGATTCTCCTATAATCCACATCCATGTACACAACTGTTTGGTCAAGATTTTTCATTCATCCATCCACTCATTTAATACATACTGAGCACCTACTATTTTGCCAGGTACATCATTAGATGCTACCGGTATAGATGTGAACTTATTATATGGCAGAAGATGATTCATTTGTGAAGAAAAATAAAGCCAGAAAAGGAAACAGAAATGGTAATGAGAAGGGGTGTTATTTTATATAGGTTGGTAAAAAATAGCTTCTTTGATGACTTTACAACAAGAAATAAAGTGAGTGACAGCCATATGACTGGGAGAACATTCCAGGCAGAGGGAAGTATCAGTAGGCTCTAAAGTGGGAGCCTCCTAGGAATGTTCTGTTTAGAAGGACAGGGTCTCTACAGAGTAGTAAGGACAGTGAGCGTGGTGACATGATCTAACTTAATTTAAAAGGATCACTTAGGATGAAAAGTTGAGTAGATATTGAGATACTCACTTGGAGGCTACTGCAATAATCTAGGCAATTAATGATGTTAACTTGAACAAGGGTGGTAGCAGCGAAGATAGTAAAGTGGTTGACTTCTGGGTTTTTCAAGGCATACTAAGAGAATTTGAATTAGTTTGGATACAGAAGAAAAAGAGAGGTTGAGAATCAATCAGAGGTTTTCAGTCTGAGTAACTGAAAAAATTAAAGCTTCAATTTCAGAAATGTGAAGTTTAAGATGCCTAACAAATATCTCATCAGAGACATCAAGTAATCAGTTGGATATCTAAGCCTGTAGCATAGCAAACTAGGGAAACAATAAAATATTATGCCATGGGCATCTCAAATGCAATGCTAAAATCTTAACCTAATTTTTCTCCAACTGTTCTATTTGCTGCCTGTCTTGTTTTCCTATACTAAGTGCTCTCACTTACCTAGCAACATGAAAGTCATCTGAATTTCTCCCTTTACCTTACTCTCACCCCATCTGTGATTGTTAATTGTGTCAAGAGATGCCTAGATGGCTGGTGAAGCACTGTCTCTGGGTGCATTTGAGGGTGTTTCCAGAGGAGACTGACATGGGAGTCAGTGGCCTGGGAGAGGAAGACCCATCCTCAATGTGCACAGAAACAATCCAATCAGCTGGGAGAAATGGGCTGAAAAAGGAGGATTTGCTCTCTCTGCTTGCTCTCCTCTCCCTTCAGGAGGAGGATACCTTTTTCTCTCCTGCTTTTGGATATCAGACTACAGGTTCTTCAACTTTTGGACTCTTGGACTTGCACCAGTGGCTCCTTGGGGGGGTTGTCAGGCCTGACAGGGACTGCCGTGTCAGTTTCCCAGCTTCTAGGGCTTTGAACTTGGACTGAAGACACACTACTAGCTTTGAGCCAGCCACATTATCAGCTTCTCTGGTTCTTCATTTTGCAGGTGACCTATTGTGGGACTTTGCAGTGATTCTGTGTCAGTTGCTCCTAATAAATCCCCTTCCATACATCCTACAGGCTTGTCTCTATGGAGGAGCCTGACTAATACACCATCCTATTAGTTACCAGATTTTGAGTTGCCACTTCTAGACTGTCTTCTAAATGGCCCCTATCACTATCCTAGTTCATAGCTTATGTCTCACACTTTGACTACTACTACTGGCCCTTAACTCATTCAGTCTTTAGTCCCTTCTAATTCATCCCCCAATCTACTGCTGAATCGGAAAAAATAAAATATGATGTCATTTCTCTATATAAAATTTGTCAGTGGCTGCTTCTGTAAGACAAAGCTCAAGCTCTTTAGTATAGAAGACAAAGCCTTTTATGACTTGGTCTCAGTGCATTTTTAACTTCATCTATAGTCTTTCTCTCTTACCATCATCTAGTGTTCTAACCATTTAGACCTCCACATAGGTCCCCAAGTACATTATGGTCCGTGTTGTCATGACAGCTACCTCTACCTGAACTGTATCTTTATTCTGCCTGCTTATTAGCACATTACCATTTTTTTTCAAGACAACTAAATTGCTCATTACTCAACTGAAGCTCAGCTTTTAAAAAGCAGACAATAATTCAGAAATATTTTTAAAACTCCAAGATAACACAAGTATAGGAAAAGTCATCTTCAAACTAGAGATTATAATATCTCATTACTGCATTTGAAAGAAACTTGCAGTAAGATTTTCCAAACAGACCTTATGAAAACAATAAATTGTATAAACTATGTATGTAATGAACAGAACCTATTATAATTTTTATAAAAACCAAATGCCACCATTTCTATAGTAAAGCAGTTTTACATATATCAAAAATTTCCTACCAAAAGATAATCAGTCCATTTAAGATATGCCTAACGTTAATAACCTTTCTATTAAGTGATTTATCTCAGATTTGCTTTTTTAATGTGTTATTCTCTTACTGGCTTTTAAAACAGGTAGCATTTTACTATTTTTATCCCTCCTTTCATTATAGTTTTAAACATTCTGATCTTTATTGTCTTTTACTATTCTGTTTCCTTTGAACTTCAAGTTAAAAAAAAAAACTACTTCTTTTCTATTTATCTAATTTCATGCTATCTTTATCTAATGACAAAACAATTACCTTCTTTAGCTTCCAAATCATGCTCGTAACTGATTCATATATAAAAACAATCCAAGTGTAAAGTTAACGTGAAGGGCAATTCCTTATGCTTAAGAAAATTAAATTAGAAAAGAAAAACCTTTCTTTTATTCTTAAATTTTGCAATACTACCGATTAGAGTATGTAGACCCTGCTTAGCTCATCAAAAACTTGAAGAAGAAACAAAAAACAATCTAATTGTACTATGTATTAGGAGACTTGCTTTCTAATTTCAGTGCTTTGACTAACTAGCTAGTGATCCTGAGAAAGCCATAGCTTCTTTGGATATTAGTAAGATAGGTTAAGAAAACAGATACTGAACCGAGACTGGCTGGATTTGAATCTCTGATCCACCACTTACTAGCTGTACTACCTCAGGCAAGACAATCTATGCTATGCTCTGGTTTCATCTGTAAGATGAGAATGATGACAATATCTATCCCATAGGGTTGTTCTGAAAACTAAATTAATTAATACATGTAAAGTGTTTAGATCAGGAATAAGAACTAAGGTGTTAATTATCATTATCAGTTTGAAAAGTCTATGATTCTGCTTCTCTCCTCTTGATTTCTGTTTTAAAAGAAAAAAAATCTTATAATGCATTTAACCAGTCCTAACCCACCTACTATATAACTGCAAGGTTTTTAAACAATGAAAACAGTATATAATAAAACTAAGTTGGGTATAACAAAGTGATCAGACTAACATTTGTCACTATGATTTAAGAGCAGTAAATATTAAATTAAAATACAGCCAAATATCTTAGATTAAAATAAATAAAATTAGATTGGAATTTAGTCAGCTAACAGATTCAAAAATTAATGTGTCCCTAGCTAAATAAAGAAAATAATTACAGCTACTGTTCAATGATTACTACTTTCAAAGGCAATTTACTTAAGCATAACTAGCTACTGACCAAATGTACTAGAATAAGAAAAGCCAAAAGAATGATTAAAAAAACTTAAAAATAGTGAATAACAATTTTCATCCCTGGATAATTTGAGAAATGTTACCACTACTAATGATACGGTTTGGCTGTGTT